GGGGAGGGGCGGGGTTCCCAGCCCGGGGTGTGGCCGGGGGTGGCAGCGGGGACCTGGGGAGCGGGTGACGGCGCGGGGGACAGTGGGGTCGAGAGCAGAGCCGTGGGGCAGCCGTGGGGCAGGGAGCACCTTCCAGGGCCGGTGCTGAGCGGAGCAGGGCGTCGAGCACCCGGAGAACGCAAGCGCATCGGGGACCAGGGTGACAAAGTGTCCGGGTGCCAGGAGAGGCCCAGCCCACGGGGAAGGAGACGGCGGGCGGAGCCGGGGTGCATCGCGCGTCGGAGCTGGGTGCACCCAGGGGCGGGTGCTGGGGGTCCCTTTGGGAGCTGCCGTGCCCCTGGTGGCTCGTGGTGGCTGCCTGCCCCCCCCTGGGGGCCCCTGGGGTGCTGGAGGAGCTGGGCGGGCAGGTCGCCGCCCGTGTGCGTCACGGTCCCCATCCTGGGCAGCGCGCCGGAGCCATCTCACCACGCGTCGGCACCACCAGGCCCCAAAGGACCTGTGTCAGCACCCACCTTGGCCCGTCCTGGACCCACCACAGGACCCATCATCTGCTCCTGGCCTTGAAAGACCCATCCTGACACCAACCATCTCTGCCTGGCCCTGATGGACCCATCTTGGCACCCATCATCTCTGCTTGGTCCTGCTGGACCCATCTTGGTGCCCATCATCTCCTTCTGCTCCTGCTGGACCCATCTTGGCACCCATCATCTCTGCTTGGTCCTGCTGGACCCATCTTGGCACCCATCATCTCTGCTTGGTCCTGCTGGACCCATCTTGGCACCCATCATCTCTGCTTGGTCCTGCTGGACCCATCTTGGCACCCATCATCTCTGCTTGGTCCTGCTGGACCCATCTTGGCACCCATCATCTCTGCTTGGTCCTGCTGGACCCATCTTGGCACCCATCATCTCTGCTTGGTCCTGCTGGACCCATCTTGGCACCCATCATCTCTGCTTGGTCCTGCTGGACCCATCTTGGTGTCCATCATCTCTGTTTGGCCCTGCTGGACCCATCTTGGTGCCTGTCATCTCCTTCTGGCCCTGCTGGACCCATCTTGGTGCCCGTCGTCACTTCCTGGTCCCGCTGGAAACATCTTGGCACTCATCACGTCCTCCTGGTTCTCCTGGAACCATCTTGACGCCCTTCATCTCTTCTTGGTCTTGCCCATAACATCTTGGTACCCATCATCTCCTCCTGCTCCTGCTGGATCCATCTTGGTGCCTGCCATCTCCTCCTGGTCCTGCCCAACTCATCTTGGCACCCATCATATCCGCTTGGCCCTGGGGGACATTTCTTGGCACCTGTCATGTCCTCCTGCTGGACCCGCCTTGGCACCCATCATCTCCTGCTTCTCCTGGACCCATCTTGGCACCCATCATCTCCTCCAGGTCCTGCCCAACCCATCTTGGCACCCATCATATCTGCTTGGCCCTGGTGGACCCATCCTGGAATCAGTCATGTCCTCCTGCTCCTCCTGGACCCATCTTGGTGTCCATCATCTCCTCCTGCTCTTGGCCAACCCATCTTGGCACCCATCATCTCCTCCTGGTTCTTCCCAACCCATCTTGGCACCCATCATCTCTGCTGGACCCATCTTGGCACCCATCATCTCCTGCTCCTCCAGGACCCATCTTGATGCCCACCATCACCTCCAGGTCTTGCCCAATCCATCTTTGGCACCCATCATCTCTGCTTGGCCCTGGTGGACCCATCTTGGCACCCATCACCTCCTGCTCCCCAGGACCCATCTTGGCACCCATCACCATCTCCTGCTCCTCCTGCACCCCTCAGCACCCCCCACCTCCCCCCGC